GATAGTACTGAGTAAGACAAGGCAAAATCAAATTTTCTTTTGATTCTTTAATCCAATCTCCAGTAGCTTTGCAAATTCTTGACGCATCAGAATAACATGCTTGATATAATGCAGGGTCTAATGTRAAATCGCGATTAATAAAATATTGAACTGGCAGTAATGCATTCTTGCACTTATCTTGAACTAATCCCACAAATAACTTTTCCAACAAACAAGATATTACCCTAGTTTTAAAAAATATAAAAAATTAATACATATCTATCGATAATTATTCATTGAATATAAATTAAATTAAATTACCTGTTGTAAMCAGGAGGTATATCAGAGCAATATTTATCAACTTCAGACTGACACATTTCTTGGAGTACAGGATCTACTCTCCAGTCTTCACCAATATTTGTGATGCGCATAAGTTTTTGTAACTAATTATGATTAAAAAAATTACATGAAATAAATATAATAATATCTCATAAGTCATAACTGTATGAAAAAAAAACATACCGATTTTTGACATGACTTATCTATTCGGTTTTTTTGACGTGATGGCTTAGAATGGTCCATTAAACAATGTATTGTTCGTCTGCTAACCTCATTATTTCTACAATATTTYTCAATRTCATTAGAACACGTTGAAACAACTTCTGGTGATAAATGGTGGTTTTGGAGTAATAATTTTCGATGTTCCATTAATTCAAATTGACAATCCGAGGATACTTTACTGCCTAGAAATTAATTGCAACTATTAAATAACAACAATGATTATACAATAGTTAGGTACATTAAAAATAATGATGTACATAGTTATGTACTATCTTTATTCATTAATTATTTCCATAGCCATTAGGCTGTGCCCTAGGTAAGAGTTCTAACAGTACATTACCTACATAGTTAAATAAATAGTGATTTTCTAAACTTGGATTATCGTGAACGTAAAATTTTGCAATGTATAAGGCATAAACAAGAGATATAAGTGTAAAGTCCTCTTAAGTAACATAATTGTGATGTTTTAGGTTGTAACATTATTAAGACTCATTACCCCAAGGAACTTTACAATATATAAAAAAATATTATAAAAAATCTTTACATCCCAACATTTTAGGGTCTGCATTCAATATGGTTCTAACTTCTAAGATGTTTAAAAGTACAAAAAAGTTTTATTACACATACCAAAGAATAAACAAGATATTTTATGTTTGACAGACTTTGAAAAATTGCCATCTACTTACATTTGAACTACCTATTAACAATATTACCAATAACTWTAAGGAATTTTAAATGCATGATTATGGTAAAATATATTACATATTAAATCCTGTCACCTTTAAGCAAATTTCTACCTTACCTAGTTTTTAAGAGGACGTGTTGTCTCCGTCTTACAAGTGAGTAACATAACAATTTTTACGCACAGCAGAACACATGTAGCTTTGTTAGTTTAAAATTTAGAGCAAATAGACCTCTAATAAAATTTAAAAATATGATTATCATCTAGACAACCTCACATTATTTTTTAATTTTAAAGCGGGTTATGAGTAGATGTAAAAAGATGTAAAAATGTCACGTCCTTTTAATGTTTTACTTTTAAACAATCAATACCAATATTCAGTATGAAAATATATAAATGTTTGTCTAATTGTCTAATTAATTTAATGCTTTTAGTATTTTTAACYTTACCATTATGTATAGCATTTTCTAAACACAGCAAAAGTTGTGCCAAACGAACATCCTTATCATCAGATACTAATCTTCGACAGCGGTATGTGCGAATGTCTTCTCTACATGCCCTAGTTAATCCTTTACTGACTCTAATATTGCCAGAAATCAATTTTTCTCTCCTCCAAAGTTGATTTTGGCACTACATATAACATTTTAAAAACAAATAAATAATAYACTTCTATGATTAAAACTTAAATAATAAAATTACCGGAAGTGACATTTGTCCACTACCAATATGTCCAGCAAGACAGTTGTAAACAAGACCACTACCAGTTGCAACGTCAGCACATAATTTCTCTTTRTCTTTTAAGCAAGCCATATGAAGGGAATAATCAAATTTTATATTATCTGCTTGCCACTCGGATAATTTATAAACCAAAGGTAAACATTGCTTTGGAGAGAGCTTGTCTATATTAGATTGAAGGCATTCCAATACACGTCCTCGATACAGAGTCTATAAATAAAATAGTATAATATTTACAATACCATTTTATAAATTAATTAAAATAATACATACATCTGTGACAGAAGTGTTGTAACAATGAAATTTTTCTATATCATCTTGGCATGCGTTTGAAAAATTTGTGATTAATCTAAAATCAGAAAATGCTATATTTTCTATTCGCATTATTAAATGAAGGCAGTCAGCATTTCTAATGYTCTGTTTTTTGTCAACTATGCAACCAAACCAATTCTTGTCTCGTTCACAGTTGAGTTTTTCAATTTCATATCTACATTTAGGCCATAATACAGCTCGTAGATTTTCTTTTGCAATAAACTTTTTTAAATGAGTCCATATGGCTTTTGGACAGTTGCCTGAAAAATCTGAATCCTAAAACAATAAAAATCAGTAATTAAATTATTAAAACTATTTTTTCACAATTAGTAAGGTAGATGGTATATTTTTACAATGCTCAACATTTCAAAAACTGACTAATAAAATATGAATGAAAATATGCTTTACACAATTCGGATTTATTTGATGATTTTTATTAAATGACAATTTAATAAAATAATTAGGTTCAAAATAAGCTATAATAAAAAAGTATACACTTGAATATCAAGTGGTACCTAAATTTAATTATTAATTATTCGGTTGATTTAGATCAATAAGTAAAATTTTAATGGAGTTATTCTTCATAATTATCTAAGTGATTAAAATTTAATACATAGTTTATACAACTTGCGCCAGAAAATCATTTTATCAAAARATTAAAGTTTTAGGTAAGATCTTATTTGATGTCACTTAAAAAATTAAACTTGTTGCTACTAAGTACCTATTAATATGTAAAGTATACAAATATTTGTTTTAATAACTGATAGTTAGTAAGGCACAAAATAATATAAAATAAAATTCTAGCCCCTATTCTAGTATCTTTGTTAAGTAATTAAATTACTAATTAAAAGTAGGTAAGTTGGCAAGTTGTTGGAAAAATCTGAYTTTTAAAATAATATAAAATAAATTATCAATGGTTCTATATTTTTCTCATGTTGTATACACATTTCATTATTGGTTATTCTTTTCAACATCATCAATAAGCTTGTTGTCTCTACTTTGAATAAAAATCACTACATCAAATTTGTTATAGCTTTAGCACATGYGATACTAAGAAAATTAAACCTAGATGACTATMTACCTATTTAGTTAAATGTAATATGTTTAAATTGGAGTTACATTTGAAACCATAATTTATTTTATTCTCTTAATTATTAAGTTATTATTTTAATAACAAAATTGTAGAAAAAAAAAACAAGTGGGCATCAATAGTATATGAAAATAGTACTCAATCATTGATATTGATTATGATTATTTACATGAAGAAAGTTCATTATTTTTAATTTATCAATTACCTAATATACATACACCTTGGATATTATATAAAAATATATGGCGAGTGGTTATACTTGATTATTCTATTCTATTGGAGTGTAAAAAATTACCTCATAGAGCTGTATACATTCCAGAATGTCAAGTTTTGACATGGCCGCAGTGCCTGCGTTGGCACATCTCAATTTCAAGTAATCAACGCACGACGGTTCGGCCAGCAGCGAATCAACAGCAGACGCATGGGCCGCGCTCAACAGCAGCAGCAGGAGCGAAACGACGACGACGGGCCCAGCCATGGTTTCTTAGTGATCACAAATGGGGGCGGATCACTGGTGACGGCTCGTCGACGGTCGGGGATGACGTCTSGAGGGCGACATAACGGCGCAACCACTTCCGGATCGTCGGGACGCGGAAATGACACTCAACGACGCAATTGCTATCAATCTGCGGAAACGACAGCGACAAGCACCAGCAACAACAGAACGACTCGTTCGTATTGTGGCCAATTAGGAACTTATTGTATGAAGTACGGACGGTTCTTATCAGCAATAACGCGAATCTCTGCCGGTACGCAACCTGCTTACTCGGCTTGTTATTCCGTATCACTCGTTATCATCGCCATCGTAGTGTTATTATTGCTGACTGCTGTAGTGAAATATTTTGTGATTACCGATAGTCGTCTAAACAACAACAAAACAATCACTATCGTACTTAAATCCACGACGACAACAACAAGGTGAACAAAGATCCAAAGTTATAAAATATTATCATTATCATCGTTATTGCGACGTCGTTGTCGTCTCGGCGATGACGGAAAATCAATTGAAATGAAAATCGCAACGAAAAAATCGACAAAAATGTATTTCGAACTAAAACTATTCCGGTTTTGATGACGGTCAGTGGCGGAGGTGGCATAGGACCATTAAAATTACAACTAATAGCAATGGCATATTATCGTAAAAATGTTAATGTTATTTTAATTAAAAAATACTAATTATAATATAATAGCAGACGGCGGCGCCGATGGCCTACGCCCTTTACGGCGAAAACGAATTACAACGTGTCGATTGTCTGTGTACCGCGAACCTAGTTTGTCGGCACCACGCAGAGCTGCGTAGGTATTTTTGTGATGCAAATGAAACATTGATACGTTTCGTCGTTTAAAACAATAATCAACAAATGAAATTGATTAAAATATTATTAGGCGCCAGGATTTCATACCTGGTAAGGATAGGCGTGCGCATACTTTATTCGCAGGAGATGCCATTATGCCAATATAATTCAAAATAACTCAATTTTTAACTCTCTTAAAAAAAAAAAAAAAACATAAATCAGAATTTTTTTTCTAAAAAAATGTAATACATAACTACAGAACTCTCTGTTACGTTTGTGATAAAAATTATGATAATATTGATAGTTTTCATTACTAAAAGTAAAAACATAAAACAAATAAGCTATCTGAGTAGACTGCAGGGGATGCCATGGTACCAGCTATAATAAGGTGTGGAATGCTCCACACTTCTACGCCAAGTATACAATAAATGAATAGTTTAACTATATCTACGTGACTACTACATAGGTACATAATATTAAAATAATATTGTGTCTTATCGTATTGCACATAWGTACTAATAAGAGACAATGGAAAATATTTTGTAAAAAGGTTTTGATGTTAATTTGAATATTTTCAAWTTTCATAAAACCTCAGGGAAGGCCAGTGGACAGGCCAAGAAATATTTAGGGAGGACAATGACAATGGTCACTCTATATTGGGCACATAATATATTTGTTGCTTTCCAGTTCCCGGAGTTAAAGAGGACAATAGTTTTTAATTTTCAAACGATTTTTTTTCTAGACGTGTGTGTATACCYTACATTTAATCGTAAACGAAAATGGTCTAATACTAGTTGCCTCCCAAGTCCCAATTGTCAAGTAATAAATATAAAATAGGTATATAATATTCGTATACCAATTTATAAATAACTCAAAATTTTTACATACGTACTATCAGGGCCACATTTATAGGGAGGGGGACACTGGCTTTAACTGCCCCGGGCGTCAATATTTTGAAGGCACAATAATTTTGTGATTAAAACTTTTAAATTTGAATGATAAATTATGTATTTTGCTGTTCGAAATTTAAATAACAAGAGAATTATTAACATATCTATTCAGGGACGGATCTTTGTTATTTGTTTTTGGTATTTTCTCTTTTTTTTGTCTTATTTGTTTTGTTGTTCTACCTTTGTATGTTTTATTAAACTTAGGTTTAATTGTTTGATCTACATCATTTGTTTGATGACGAATAGATTTCAAATGTCTAGACCAATTTTTG